GTTCTATCATTACTTTCACTGTATTTCACACAACATAGCTGCCTACGGTTGTCAATGAGATAACATACGAACCTCTGTCCACACATGTCACGTGCAAGGAATACTTTAGATGCTCGATTTGAAGTGCCTTCCCTTCAAAGAACCAGATATGGAAATTACAATGGTATGGTTACAAGACTTCGACAAGAAATGATCTAGACATATATTGATATATTTAACTACGTGGTACTATTATGACTTTAATACCCTGGTATATTTAAGGTCTAGACATATTTCCGGCACCAGTGGTACTACTATGACTTACCCTCTGGTATGGTTGAAGTTTCAGACCAGAGATGATCTAGACATATTTCTGGAGCCAGTGGTTCTACTATGACTTACCCTGGTATGGTTGAAGTCTCAGACCAGAGATGATCTAGACATATTTCTGGAGCCAGTGGTTCAACAATATCAATGTAAGTATCATTTATTGCAGAGGTGGAAAAAGAATATGTAGCTGGTGATCTTGAAATGGCAGCAGGAGAGGACCTCATTGATGGAGACATACTAATATTTCGATGAACCGTTGGTGACTGAGAACGACTGAAAAATAACACACAAATATTCATAGACACACCTTTAATGACAGTCCTGATTGTACATTTAAGGACACAGAAGAGGGAAGAACACAAGGTAACTTCAATAAAAAATAAAAAACAAATTAAAACAGATGTCTTTCTATCAATTTTGAACAAAATCAACCAAAGTATTTCCAAGAAATGGGTAAAGAACACTTAAAAAACAAATGAATATCAAGTTTGAATGGAATCTTAGACATACAAGAGAACTGATTGATTACATGATAAAATAAATTGTACAATACATTGATTATAGAACTTACACCATTACTCTATATACGCATTACAAATAGTAAAACAAGCCGGTAGGCTGATTGGCAATCCGCTCCACTCAAAAAATAAGCAACATGTTTTTGGCTGTTTTTATGGTAGGACATGAACGTGAAACTAACGTCGGTTTATAACTAAATAGGTCGCGTATACGAAGTTTGCAAAAACCATTCAGTCTTTAGAAGTCACTTAATTTATTACTTGAACGTATTCTGCTGTTACATTCATTATTTCCAATCGTTTTGCGATAGTATTTTCTAGAATGAAGGCAGCATTTACAGTTCCTTCAAAGTTCAACGTTGCGTTGGGATTACGTTGATACAGTGCAACAATGATGACGCTGGTGATCTCTTACCAGTGTGTAACGTAGCCAAAATAAAAAGCATGATCATTTGAACACTGCCCTTACAAAACTGGTAGGAAGTAATAAATTTGGAGCGAAAGTATTCAAAAAGTTTTTGGATGTTGCAATGGCAGTGGTGGGCCAGGATTTTTTTTTTCCAATTAGTGACGGTACCACCTACCTGTCAAGTATGAACAAAATCAGCCGAGCCAAAAAAATCACAAAGGAGTTAAAAGCCGTTGCTGGTGAGAAGTTACCCCAACTTTTGAGGTAAATTTGCTCGTTAATGAAAATATACATAAAGAAATAAAACAGTAAATTTTTGCCCACACTCAAGCTGAGTAGAATGAGATACATTTGGCGCGAAGGTATTTAAAAAAATAAGTTTTTTGGCTGTTGCCATGGAAATGATGGGCCACAATTTGTTTTTAGATTTTACAATCTAACTAGAGTGAAGGTATGATTTGTCTGCCAGGTTTGAACCAAATCGGCCAGCCAAAAAAATCACCGAAGAGTTAAAATGCCCCTTTGGGGTAAAATTTTTCGTAATAAAAAAAGATATCAAAAATTCAAATAAGTAACTTTGTGCCGACACTCAAGCTGAGTAGAATGAGCTATGTCTGAGGTGTTTTATCCTAAATTTGTAGGAGGAGATATATTTGGCGAGAAGCTATCCAAAAATCAGTTTTTTGGTTGTTTTTTCTAATAACTAGGGTGAAGGTGTGACCCTACCTGCCAAGTTTAAGCGAAATCGGCCAAGCCAAAAAAATCACAGAAGAATTAATACGTGAAAACACTGGAAATCACACACACAGACACACACACACACACACACACACACACACACACACACACACACACACACACACACACACACACACACAAAAGTGATTTTAAGGGCAATCCTAGCGGAGCGGATCGCCAATATTAGTTTAGAGCACGAAGTAGGATATACCACTTGATATTGCAGTTTATGCATATACGTTCAGAACTAGGCAATATTTTGCGGTATACCCGCTTTTGGCAAGAGGTTATTGTGTGAATAAATCGTACCTGAGAGCAGCCATGTGTGATATTGATGGACTATGAATCCTGGATGATGGAGAACCAAATCGACTGGAATAACTTCTAGATGGAGATCCTCGGAGTGGTGACTGGTAAGATGCATTCAGATGAGAGTGTGAACTACTTGTCATTAGTCCATATAGTAATCCTGAACTTGTGCTTGGAAGAGGTGTTGTGGTAGTGGTGGTCATGTGACTATCAACACCAGACAACCCTGAAGCATTACAAACTTCCTGTGTGTCAAACACATTGCCATCCATAACTTAAAGTACTAAATTATTGAAGACATTAATAACTTGTTAAATCAGTATAAATCAGTGAACGCCATAACTTTCAGATTTGATTTTTGACCAAGTCACTAAATGTTGAAAGGGCTTTCAACTAAGTTTCGCTGACAATACTTCTTTAAATATTAGACCTCAAAAAAAATATTTAACACAGTGACAGACATGCAACATAAAATTCACTATTTTGATGAATTATTACTGCTATGATCATTTCCTACCTGAGTGGTTGCTTTCCTGAGTGCCCAAATTGTATGAGTGCCAAGAATACTATCATATGTCATAACAAGAGAAGGATAAACACTGGTAAATACAATATGTTGGGTTTGGTCAGTAACATAAGTAACTCTATTACTAACACCGCCTACAGACAGAAAAATCAAAATCAGATGTTAAGTAGTTTGCAGTGAAATTTATTCAAAGGTTATTCACAGCTATATACCATTATATATCACGGTATCTTAATCATGTGCTCACATAAATTACAGATGGAGCCAATTAGAATCCGATGTTTGTACAGTCAAAATAAGTAATGCAATTCTAATTGAGCAATCTCATTATTTTTTATCATTTTATCATACTAAAAAGTTTTGAAGAACTCAAAGCCGAGATGAGTGAACTGTCTTGACATGCATGTCATTTCATGGGCTTGTGACAGTATTTGTAAATTGACTGGGGTATAGCAATCAGTATATCCATCAATGTAAACAGTGACACAGAACTACAAATATAGAAAATATCAGTGTGATCACATGATTATTTTCACCGAGAACAATTTGAAATATATAGACATACATCTAGCATCAATTGAATTTACCATTCTGCAAAAGCCATATCAGCATTCACTCCAAAACATATCATTCTGTACTCTTAGGAATGTTTCCCCATATTTGGGGTAAACAACACAAACTTTGACATCACACAACATTCAAATATTTGTTTTTGATTACATCAGACACAAATGGCCTATAATGCTTGACAAATGTATAATCCGGCCAGTAACTGAACGCAAACTTTCACAAATTGCAAACAGTTTTTCATTGCCATTTTGAGCTGTTATTTCTCAGCAAATTATTACTACAAGCAATATAGGATCGCATTGACCAGCTCACACAAGTCAATATGATCACTGTACTGCGATTACACATACTTTGTGCTGTACACATGAAAACTTCTTACCTAAATATTTACATATTACTGGTGATGGTTCATCCAATGGATGCAACAAAGTGAACAAAGAAGGCAACGTCTCAATATCCCTGAAACAAAATACAAAAATATATCAAAAAGACTCAATAGTACGGTAAGTAATAATAAATATTTTACAACGTTTTGTTTTATTTCAGCGTACATTCTCTTCTTGATTTTACTTACAGGGAAGTAACTAAATTTCAACTTTATTGATTCTAAATATCTTCTACAGAACATATTAATTACAACTTGCAAACAAAGTCCAAGGCAAACAACATTGTCAACGAAGATCGATTCAGCTCAGTCTATTCTATTCATAATATTTAAAACAAGTATCATGAAGATTTAAATCATGTATAAAACACGAGGTCATTTGAATTTATTTAAAGCTGTGTTTAATAAGTAGAATTTAAATAACTAGTTTCACTGATTTTCACCGGAAATACACTCAGACATCAGTTAATCTTTAAACAGTGTTTGAGCAAGTAGTCAGTGTTGAAGCGATTGGTCATTGTTTTCAATGAGCAAATGTACAATATTCTTTATATGAACTAATATTGAGTGCAGCGAGAGTGACTGAAGTCCACTCACGAAGCAATGTTTGTAGATAACATGTATGTATATGGAAAAGTGTGTGGAATAAATCTATATACCCTAAGATTTTGTTTGTTTTATAAAATGTGCAAAGCGAGACAGCTCTTCCATGATAAAGCATCTACAAAATGTTGTTCAAAGAAAAGGCAATCGTTTTCTAGCAACGAATTGAAAATACTTTGAATAGTGTTTTGCAACATACAAATCGTGGATGGCGCCTTCTTGAATTCCTCTCAACTCGCCAATGAACTAATACCACAGCTTCCACATTTCATCTGCTTCCACGACCTATGGTCACATCAGTTCTATTCTTAGTAAATCAGTAAACTATTCTGCTGTGCTCTCTTGCCATGCATTGCCTGTTACATGTACCGGGAAGTGTTTATTGGACAGATGGGAAACTATGATGAGAATAACTTACTTTTTGAGACTGGTTAAATCACCTTGACAAGATGACGTCCTTTCCAGTAGTACACCATGTTCTATAACCCATGCCTTGGATACCTATAATGCATACATATATATCATGTAATAGGATTGGACAATTTTAGGACAAATACTGCATGAAGAGCCGAAATAGAACTACTACTTCAAGCTTTAGTAGATGTGAAATTAAATTTAACAAAAGACAGGATTTATATCTGCATACAACACGAAACAGGCATTTCAGAAGAAAACAAATTTGCAATAAATATCTACAGCACAAGAAATGAAAAATAACACAGATTTCTTGTAAAATCAGCAGAATGGTCCAGTTAATGAAATTTTGTACTTTGGTGAAGTTGTGTTCCTTTATCTAATTACACCCAAAAACAGATATGTATATTCTTGAGCAGCTGATTTGGTTAGACTGATAACAGTTGATTTTTTTTTACCTGAAATGGCAGAGTAACTAAATGTTCTTCTCCTTTCATTGTAAACACATTGAGTGAGGTTTCTTGTACTACACATATACTTGGCACCAACTCCACTAAAAACAAAAAATGAAGAGTCAACATACATATCATAATATATATTGGAAACAAATGTAGGAATATTTTGAACCAATGATATTATTTGTATTAATTTATTTATCTACACACATCCCTTATAGATGGAAATAGACACACACAAAAATCAAAGCAAAAAGATGACCTACATATACCGTTCTGTCATTCAATGTTTATTGAAAGCAATTTCAAAATTAATAATACAAAGTAATGACATTAAATGAACAAAACTAATCAGCTGTGTGTATTGTCCCAAAGTATCTAAGTTGTTAGTTTCATTGAAAAGTGACACAGACATAGAATTTGAATCACCACCCAGTGTATCGCTGTATATTAGTTGCAGGGCTCATTTCATTTAACCACGGTTGCAAATGCTAAGTTTCAGATACTGTATTACATTTGAACAATAGGTGTTGTTAGGTGCTGTAAAGTTACTTCTGCGTCTCAAAATTACCTTTAAAATGAAGTAAAACTGTTTAGTATAATAGGAATACCCCACCTGAGAAAAGAGTACATGTATACCCTGAGAATTTGACCAATTTCATGACATATACATGTACACTGATGCAATATTTTAACAATATTTAACAAACCATCAAAACAAGTTGGAAAATACATTGCAGGACAATTCTTACGATTAACACAAAACACAAGACAAAATTTAATACATTTTTTCCGTGCTTCTTGTGTTTATTATAAGACAAATAGACATAAAATTATCGAACATGACATACCTTGTTCCTTCACAGTGTCTTGTAATAAATTGGGTTTCCCACTTGCTGCATTAAAATTGCACCACAATGCCTAAAGATCAAGGATAAGATCATTGGTGCATAATTGAACAATAGCGATGACAGTTATTATTATTATTATAATAATATCAAAAGATGATTTCAAAGCTACTTCAGTCATTACTGAGTCAATGTCACATCGTAGGTGTATTACTTGGAGTTTGAAACTTGGGTGACGTTATACCAAGATCCTATTCAAACCAAACTCTTGCGCGAGTGTATGTGATTCAATATAGTACCCGAATGCAAAAACCAACGTTGAACATAATGACAACCAGAAGTCAGAAAGGCTATGAAAATGGCTACCCCTATGATTGGAGGTTGATGCAAGTACAATCACACTTTTAGTTGCATTTGCAATAAATAATTAAATTCGATAGGAAAAAACTGTGGTGTTTAAATATTTGTTCAAAATGTATCATTTCAACTTGAAATAAATGTGATTTGGGCATTTTGAATGTGTATAACAATGCATTTACAAAGTTATTTTTAGCTAAGGTGTGTTGTATTTTTCAGCTACTTTAATTTGGTCACAAAACATAACATTTCGTCTTTTGAATCATGTTATTGAATTGTCTAGTAGCAAAATTGCATAGTATTCATGTAGACAATTTTGTGTCAGCCTTGGCCATGATAAGACTGCCATGATCATGCACATAAACAGATAATTAGCTTTTTATATATAACATTATTGGGGTTTGTCGGTTACATAAAACTCACCACTAGCTAGTCCAAGAATGACACACTTTGTCACATAAATGTGCAATGTTGCACATCACTATGTTTGTAAGTCACTGTGGAAGGAGGTCAGTCTTGTTCACAAGGAAATGAGACTTGAAATGAATTGGCATCTTGACAAGATGGGACCACACAGGCCTATGCAGGTTAGAAACCCCAAATAATGTCCATGTACTTCTTGTATTAATAATGATTTCAAACCTACCTCAGTCACTGGAGAGTCTACAGTGAAACATTTGCTCACAACCCTGGCATTTACATAGCATCCTTTACTCCATATCACTGTGTGACCATTCACATACAGCTCTTCATCATAATCACTAGCCTTTTCACCATCTTGTCCTCGTAAATGCCAGAATTCCTATGGGATAATATTCACATCAAATATTAGAAACATTATTTAACCTTGAACTACTCTGTGTGACATATATTTGCATCTCAGTATTTGATGGTGTAAATATTCAGAAACTATTTATTTGGATTTTAAGCACAATCAAATTGAAATGTATGTTATATGATGGATTCTACCTTTCTGTGATCTCTAATAGCTACATCACTGAAAGCACAAATTGGAATATCTTGATCTAGTTGGCTTGTCAACTGATAACTCTGTTGAGACTTCTCTTGATGAACAGGACCTGGATGAAGCTTGCAGTGTTCTCTGCCATGGGGAACAAAGTCCTGAGGCTCAGTTGCAGCAATCATGATAACTCTTCCTTCCTCCTCCAGTTTGTCTGTTGGATACTTAAACAGCTTAAAACCCAAACAACTCTCAAAACTGTGAAAGAGTGAACAGTGAATAATATATAATGAGCACTTAGAAATTAGAAAAATCTTAGAAATAATTACCGTTGTACTGCTTCATATTTTACAAAACTCAAAACCACCTGTCCGCAAGCAGACTAAGTCTACATATTAATTCATGAATCTGGTTGGCTGTCAAGCACAGGATGTTTTTTTTTTCACATATTAAAAGGAATTATTAATTTATTAATAATTAACTGACTACCTTACATGCTAACCTTATGGGTTTATATTTGGTAAACTTGGGTCTAGAATGGGGTATGGATTTGTGGATATTGACCATAACTTGGTCTAAAATGGGATATAGTTTTTTTGGTAAAATTGTCTATAATGATATGTATATGTGCTTTTACATACACACTACACCAATCAGTAAGTCAGGTGTTCTGGTTTATATCACTTATTAGACAAAATCATTGGAGAAGTCAGCAATAAAGTCACTAAAGCTTTATAATAAAATGAGGTTAAGTCAATGTCAATGCATTTGTAACCTGCAATGCATGATGTTAATCTATAATAAGTTTGACCTAAATCAGCTAAGACATTTCTAAGAAAACGGTTAGGGTACCGGTAAATTATTACAAATCATAAATCAACAAATCACAATTCAACAAACAGGAATGTACATTTTGATATATACACCACTATTTTGAAACTATTTTTATGTAATAATTATTCTTTTAGCAATGCTTCAAACGTCAAGCTTTTTACTATATGAATTACTCACCTACCCTTTGCTTCTTGTAATGCCTAATTCTAAATTATCACACTTGTATGTGATTAAAAATGACATTCCTATGGTGACAGTATTGAAAACCCTCTTTTAGGGGAATGCTTTATAATTATTATTATTACTATAAAAAAAGTTACTTTAAAAACATAGCGATGATGCATTATTTTGATTTTTGAAATTGTAATAAATAAAAACAACTTAATTTCAAAGTGCAGCATATGGAACTAACATACACACCAACTATGGCCTTATTATAATTTAATTATTAATATTAATTTTTAATTCTTGACCCTAACCCTAAAAAATGCTTGATGACATATTTAAGTTTTTGGTGTTTTTTTGTGACAAAACGGCCGCCAGTCAGTCAAATGTCAACCCCAACTCAGTCAAATGTAAATAATATATGCACCAAAGCACAACTTTCTTATTATTAGAATATTATTGTACATTATTAATTAAGATATTATTATTATCATTATTACAATCTACCAGAATATACAATCTAGATCATGAACAATATTGGCCAGGATCAGCTCATTTTAGTAAATCATGGTTTGAACACAGGACGTAGAAATGTGGTTAGAAAGTGTGGACTGATTTGAGTCAGTGGACTGCAGCAGGGTAGGGGTTGTGTACTGACTTCAGTCTGCACTGGTTGTGGGCTGACCTCACTATGTACTGATCGCAAGTCCGGAGAGATTGTGGCCACAGTCACTTATAAGGCAAAATAAAATAAGTCTTATTTTGCGTAAAAGTAAATGAGTTGTGGGATATTATAAAACTCAGCTCAGTCGATCCATACTGTCACTCGATCTGGCCAGTGGTAGTACATCGAGCAGGGGTTTTGGGTGACAGCCATAAATATGCAATATACATCGAGCGCATTGTGGCGGACTGACCTTAGTTTGAGTTGTATGGTGACCGCCGTTCACTAAATATGCTCGGGAATCGTCGAGAAGCAACATATATTGATTACCTTCGCTGACATTATGTTATTACCAATTCACTTCCCGCGATGATTTTTTTAGGAAACTGCGCCGCATTGTGCGCATCTGACAAGTAATTGTGGGTAAAAAATGCAGAGTGCAGCAGACGAAACGATTTGAAACTATAACTACCATATTCTATATATTAGGATTTGATTTATATTGTAGCTGTGAGCTTCGGTTATACAGCGGTTATACAGCTGATATGATATATAGATACTAATGTATTACTCCGGGGGAAAGTTACTCACCTGGACGTTGGGTGCGAGTGCCGCACAGCTTCAAAAAAGACCTGCGTTGAGGGCGCTAATCGATTCAAAACTGATGCTAAATGGCCAAAAATCTTAAAATTGGTGGTCAAAAAGATCGGCTGAATCGTGAAAATGAGAGTCAAAAGAGCGGCGCATACCCGTATAGAGGGCACCCCGCCGGGGTATTACAACCGACACATTATAAATACTATGAATTTCACAATTTAAACTGAAACGAGAGGTTTCTATTGGTTTCTATTTTAAAATGATGTCGTTCCGTACTGTGCTCGTTGACTGGCTGGTTGGATTCAACTTCCATTGCAATAATATTTATAAAGATGATTTGAATGGGTTTGTTGTGTCCACGAATGCCGATGGAAATTATGTGGTTATGTGGATAGACAAATTGAATACACTCCCGTAAAAGGGAATAGTTACTCACTGGGTGTTAATTTTGCTTATTTCGCTGACTGGAAAATGCGCTAATTTAAAACCCAATGAATATGTAAAATTTAGCATAGAACACATTATCTAAATGATAAAATCATGAATTTAAAGCCAACTGAATATGCCCGAAATGCTAAATCAGTTAAATTTAAATCCAGTGAAAATAGCCGCCCATTTTACAGTATCACCTATGGACTTAGCCACAGTCTGTTGAGAAACTGTGACTTATCATACGGCCATGATCACGCGTGAGCACTGCTGGTACTACTCGTATTTTTATTTTAGCACCCTCGTGTGGCAGTATTTGCTATTTTCACATTCTGTTTAATATGTAATAATTTACCTATCTAATCCTTGTTTGGCTTTGGTACATTTTCTTATCACCGCAGAGAACTGAAGGCTGTAGTTTCTGTTGAATGATGGCATTCGAAAGACAGAGCGCTCCAACAATATATATAACCACAGGAACACATTTAACGTTGAATTAAATGATGAAAAACTATCGATTTAGCTGTAGTAGTGTGAATTATTCATTGCTTACGTTTATATATTGGATATTATAACAGTTATAGTCCAGTTCTTGCGGCTGATGTTGAAGTGAATCCCGTTCCAAATACCGACATATGATGAAAACGGAATTCATCAGATAAAGCCTACTGACGACATGCTGGGCAACAAAATTCTCGATAGGAAGATTGCTGATCTAAAGTTTTCGGTGGACAAACTTACCGACCGACTACAAAGAAACTGAACGTGTTCACATCTTGGGTATGGCTGCGCGACATCGTATGATTATCGGATTATTGCAAAGTTTCATCTTAGAGAAGCTAAAATAATCGCACTGTCAGATTTTAAGAAAGTGAATATTGGGATTAGAAATGATTTTACAAAACGGCAACATAACATATTATGACAATTGAAAAGTCAATCATGAATAAAAATGGGACTACTTCAAAAGGACAAAAGTCACATTGTAACTGATAAATCCCGGAAACCAGTGGCGACTGAGCAAACCAAGGAAAGCTCTCGTGACTTTAATCGATCCACATGGAGTAGGACAGATTCAGTATATTTAAAAATTAAAATAATGGATTATTCTCATTGCAAATGACCTGCTTATCAAAAATCAATAATGACGTTACCACTGTACATTTTTAAGACATATAGAAATTGTTAGTTTCTGTTTCTGTTTTATTTCGTTCGACTAACTAACATATGGGCGGAATGAGAGAGTATAGATATATTGTTGAAGATCAATTGTTAAAGATTCTCGCTAAATTACCGGAGGTTTTGCGAGTAGTAATATATGGGTGATCTGAATGTTCCAACTGAATGCGTTTCTGATTAAATTATAATCATAATAAAGATTATGGGGTAAATGATGTAAATATGTACGATGTGGATATATTTAAGATCCCGAGTGTATCTCGAAACAAAACTATAAGTACTTTGTGTCGTTTTTTGCTATACTTGAGTGCCAAAGTTTCTACACTCAATGGGAGAGCAGACGCACGTATAAATTCTGTACACTTCCCATGTCTTACAGCAAATGGGGCAAGTGTCGTTGACCTTGTATTGATTTTCTTTCAACTATATGACAAAAATATCCCATTTTAAAATCAAATCACGTACAGAGTCTAATCATTCACCTATGTAATTTACGATGACAAACATCCACTGACTTCATAATCTTCAAAGTCATCATAACCATGCACTTATATACTAGTATATGATGGAAACAAAACAAAACGCGAACGGTCTTTATGGTTTGAAGATTAGTGCCAACAATTGAAATCTGAAAAATATAGAAACTTGTATATAGTTGTTTCCACAAAACATGGACATTTGAGTTTCTAAGTGTCTACTATGTAGTCCGAAAGAATTTCAAGCAACGTGCAAGGGGAAAAAGAAGTCATTTGTCACAAATAAAATATTTAATCTAAATAGCTTATTATCAGATCCAAGGCTTTTTTGGTCAACGCTGTCCAAATTAATTATTGATAATTACCACTGTGGTAGTAAATCCGGAAGCACACACATCCTATATGATCAATAGTGTCACCATGGCGTTCTTATTACCTTCATCAGATGATGGTATGACTATATTCATAATTTATTTCTTGAAATTAATACGAATCCAGACCTGTAGTTTAGTCAACTGACGAACCAGAGATTCTATAGGGGGTTGTCTGCCTATGGTAGATACCCCCGATCAAGAAAATACAGAATTAGATTTTCTGAATGGCCCTACCCCAAATGGTGACATTTTAGACCGTATTTAAAAATTGTAAAACGGCAAATCTCTGAGTCCTATGTTCAATTTTGAATCGGCGACTTCTCCGGTGGTCGAATTTTCATGTGGATTTAGTTTTAGATTAGCGGATTTTACTTATCAACGAAAAGAACTTTGTACTACAAATACATGATGACTTAAGAGAAAAAAAATACGAACACTATCGATGTAAGATAAACAGTTTTCTTTACTCCCAAATATATTACGGAGGGAGATGTCATGATCATAGGGATCCTTTATATAATATTTCTATTTATTGTTGAGTTTATTTGTTGAGCCATAATGCTGACCGACGTTTTAAGATCGACAATAACCAAAAAGAGCAAATACAACGCCCCTTGAGTGTTTGAAAATCAGTACTTCCAATACGCGCCCGTTCGGTTGGAAATATGCAGCCTGTTGTATATACAGATGCAGCCAATGGAGCTGTTCATCGGAAAAGCTGTTCCAAGAGGTTTTTGTTTAGTAGGGCAGGGGATTTTTTCTATTTTTTGTAGGGGGCGAGAAATATCAGTACCCCCTAGTAGGCAGGACAGATTTCTAAAAAAAAGTGCAAGGACAGGGAAACTTTTTTTTTAGTGGGTAGGGTACTTACATAAAAAATATCGCAGTGTGGGCAAAACAGCCTTTAGGGCAGGGTATAATTAAAAAAAAACGCATTGGGGGGAGGGGGGAATAACATATGCTAAATGTGGGCAGCCGTGTGCTATCAATAACTGAAAATTCGAGTTACCCACTGATCTGCTGAGTGGTTAATGTACTAGTATTCAAGAAGCCCATAGAAGCCAATGACAGAATGACTCGATGAATTACGCCACCAATCAGTGTTGTTTTTTTAATGAGGGGAGGGAAAAGATAAATTTGGTCAGCAGGAGGGCAAGAAAGGCAAGTTGGCGGTAGGGGAGTAGGCAAAAAAGTGTTTTTTTAACGAGGGCAGGGGAAAGATGAATTTGGTCAGCAGGAGGGGAGGCCAATATTTTCAGGTGCAGGGTAGCTTATGAACAGCTTTTAATTTCCCCTCTTTTCTTAATATTAATTAGCATACTTCGAAAGGCCCATAAAATAAATTTTGTCTCAGAAAATTTACTATTTCAATTTATTGCTCGTTGGCTGCACCTGTATATACATGTATTGAAGTTCGTCGTCGTAAATTATGGGGGACCAATCGAAACCAATTAATATTTCATATCACAGAGAATACATTCTTTACCTCTAGAATTTATTTGGGCCATTCTGTATTCCCGGCGACTTCATTGACGGACCTAAACGCAAAGTTGAGATCAGTCTGTAATTTATTAAGCGAGATCTACACCCGTTCCCACCACCTTACACACGGCAAATCATTAATTTTGTAGTTTTAGAAAAAGGTTGGGCCAAGCAACACGCATCGCTAGGACTTGGTATATTCAAGTGCGCCCTCTTTGGCAACACTTACAGATCTTTTTTTCAATCTAATACTAGTATTAGATCCAACTGGTTGCAGATTTTGTTTGAAGAAAACTAATTGGATTTAACCATTCTTTGCTGTTGTGGCTATCTATTGAGGTTATTTAATTTTGAAAGACAGCATTCAACAAAATTAACTATACACAAGACCCGAAATAGATGAACAAGTGTTAATATCAAAGTCCTCTAATAGTAAATGCAATAATATATCTAAACATTCCACGCAAAATTTTAGATGAACACAATTCTGAACAAAAATCAGCAACACCAATGAAGTTTTTCATAATTACACAAAAACATGTTTCTCAAATAATATTACATGTACTGTATAAATCTCAATGTCCATTAGAGAATAATTAAACACGAGTATAAAGTTTCCAAAAAATAGTACAGTAATATATATGCAAGCCAAATAAAATGCATACCAGATTTGACCGGAAAGTACACTGTACTTGTCACTTTTTTATTTATACTGCATAATGAAAACAACATATCAGCTTTGCTAAATTGACAGATCTTGGAGATTGTATTACTAACATCTAGCTCTCGCAGCTGCATTAATGTCTTCATTCTCTCCCCATTTATTTCTACGCCCTTCACAAATGTTTTATTTCAGTCAAATTTTACCCCATATATTGAAAATTACAATTGCTAGTTAATTTGGTTGACAGTTCATAAAGACTGTTGCGCCTTCCGTCTTTCTTTTCAAACTCAATCTTGAAGCACATCTTAGTCAGCCAAGGTTTGGTTATTCGGCCAATGCATAACCATAGACTGGCCCAGTCATGACAATTCTATTCTTTTATATAATTCCTTTTAAAAACAAGTTTGTTTTCTTAACAAATGTTTTATTGTAGTCAAATTTTACCCTATATATTGTACTTGCCAGTTAACTTGTTGACAGGTCATAGTGATTAAGATTCCCAAATTTGAAGATGATTAGATAAAAAAAAATGTTTGAGTTGTTGTAATCACAAGAAGACAATTTTAAGTAAAATTTGACCAATATCTTGAAAACTATACAGAAGAGATTTCAAACTGGTTATTATAATATCCAAGTTTGAACAAAATTATTATAACCACAAAGAATAATTTTAAAATGAAGTCAACTACAACGACATGCATTTTCTCTTCAGATATCTTGATCTTCATCTACAATGATATGAACACGGTAATAAAATTATTATAACAAAAAAAAAAGATAACATGGACTACAATCAAGTTTAATATAATTTATTACTGTAAACCTTTCCCTCCAGGGGTTATAGGTGAATGTTTGCATAGAGTGGAGTGGAAAAAATATACATTATCACCTTCTTGACTTAAAAATATAATCAAGATTTCAAGATGAGATTTTAATATGAAGTTAAAAATTAATGAAAATTAAAACCAATACATTTTTATTTATGTAAAATTACCAGAAAAATGCTAATAGGATACATTTATGTAAATATTATATTAAATCAAATTTAAATTACATACAGATATGAACAAGTCTCAATGAAGAATTAATCTTGCATATTGCTCTAATACAGGAAATAGGGTAAGTTTAGATAAACAAAGGTGAAGAAGCGTCCCTGCATTTTTTTAATGTGCGTGATATGACCTTGACTTTGAAAGTAATCAACATGGTTTAATACAGCAGAAATAGTTTTATCAATATGTCCAGTTTCAATGAAATAAGCCCATGTCTAACCAAAGATGCTAGCTAATACAAGAATATATGTGATATGGGTATTAGAAATTTGTTGCCCACATCCTGAAGCAAGAGACATCAAACAGAACATAATTATATTCCCTTTTATGTTTATCTCAGTATTTTCAAGTGTCTTTGGTCCCATCAAACACATTATCAGTGATAAAATTCCAATGTAAAATAATTTCTTTCAATATCATTTGTGCCAAGTAAACAATATGATTTGAAGGGTGATATATTATTTGATCTAAAGGTCTTGGTCCCAACATGATTGAAATGATGATATGCAGATAACTTTTTTCTTTTTATATATTTTATAGAACAAGTAATATATTCAGTACCACCAGTAATATATTTCCAAGAAATATCTATGAAATGAAATTTTATGACAATTTATATTTGAACAGCAAGTCCAGCAGAAGATATATTGTCTCCAGCTCCAGCTGTTTGTCTGACTTGCGTCGCAACAAGTACAGGAGCAAGACAAATATCATAGTCATATTCTTGCCAACATGAAACAGGTCTGTCAGCATTTAAAGGCATGCGTTTACTTCCTTCCTCCCTTGATATAGAGAACGAGTCATCCATAATAAGCTTAGCTTTGTTTGTATCAATTTCACTTGATCCAGAAACGTGTCTGAAAGCTGTGAGTGAAGCCTTAGCAGCAGCTGCCATGGTATTCTTCCATCCTTGATTTCTTGTTGTGATGATGACTTGATATGCTAATGTATGTGTGTGTATTCGAGTGATTGGTCTTTGACCATTTTCTGTGGTAATTGAGTGTAGAATATTATAAATGCTTCTCAAATGGTCAAGGACAGTTGCTATTCTTGGATAGGCATCAGAAACCAGAGTTATATTTCCATACATCAACAAAGAATAGAGATTAGCTAATTCTTGTTCATTCATACCAATAGAGTCTGAATAAGGAATAACGCTTTCAACCAAGTGACCTACCATTTCTTCTTCAGAAAATGATGCCAATTCAAAATGAATTTTTGTTGTTTTAGGAACATTTTGTAGCATCTTTTTGAGACTTGCAATCCGCTCTTTTCTTTGAGCTGAGAAAACAAAATTTCAGATACATATCATCATGGAAGAAAGTGAAGCTTGTATTTTGTGGAACAAATGTGCACAGTTGGACAGTGGAGTGCTTTACCTTTTTTCACACACAAGTCAACTTTTACTAACATGTACAAAATAAAACTGCATAATTTGTTTCCATATTATTTTGTTGCATTTTTTAATTAAAATGGCTGTCTATCTCACAAGTTTACCAAATACTAAATGCACTAACTTTATTTCAACATTAATGATATACAGATATATACTTATCATGTAGATATAAGATATTACACATGATGCCTTTGTTTGGTGAGGAAAATATGTTTTTAAAAGTATTATCAGAAACCAGCTACTATTTTTTTTATACTTATTGCTGATATGCCTAGATGTTTGATGTTGTTTTTTAAAATCATAAACCCATAGGTTTATGAATCAAATAGCATTGTTACTCTGCCAAGGAGAACATCCAGATTTGACATGACAAACTCAAGTCATTTGGCTATGTTCTGGGCATGCATTTATTGTATTTGAATTTCAGTGTGGTATGTATTTATAGCGACTTACCTGAGGGAAAATTGTCCATCATTTGTAGACCACTAACAATGAGTAACTGTGGATTAAATCCTGGTAACTTGGTTTGGAAAGCTTCTAAAGATGATAAAAGTGGATTTGATTCATCACTATGGACAATAAACCTGAAAGTGTAATAAATCTGTATTCATTGTCTGTTTCTACTTTTTAAATAACTTGTGACCTAGCTTTGTTTAAATGCAAGTGATTACAATGCATATTTATGTGAAATATTATGCTTTAAGGTAGAGATGCAGGTTTGTGGGCACTTGGGAGTGAAATTTTTCTTTTT